TAAGGCTGATTTTAATTATTTTAATTATTTTAATTATTTCTATTATTTAAATGATTAAAACAATTAACATATTAGGAATAATAGAAATAATTAAGGATGGCTGATTTCTATTATTTTAATTATTTCTATTATTTTAATAATTAAAATAATAGAACACATTAAAATAAGGCTGATTTTACTTATTTTAATTATTTCTATTATCTTAATAATTAAAATAATAAAAATAATAGAAATAAAAGAAATCATTAAAGTAAGGCTGATTTTAATTATTTTACTTTTTTCTATTATTTTAATTGTTTTAATTATTTTTTAATTATTTTACTTATTTCTATTATTTTAATTGTTTTACCTGGACCTCCTTGGGAGGCTGTTATTTCAGCCTAGACGGTTTCTGCTTTCACTTTCAGCCCTAGGCTGATTTTGGAATGCATCAAAAAAACCAGCCCCCGAATTACAAGCTTTAGGTGACAAAACGACGATCAGCCATAGATGATACATGATTGTAAGAGTTCGGCCGAAAGGTGTATAATAATCCAAGAGTTTACGATACGTTCTGGGCGGTGTGGTGGATTTCAACCGTGACAATCTGGGAGGCCTTGGCTTGGAAGTGCAAATAAAGCAAATTGTCTGGGATATGACTCAAGTTACACTCTTACGTAGGCTTTCGTAGTGAAGTCCACTCCACACCCAAGCCCGCAAACCTCGCCGAAGCCTCGACCCCCTACGAACTTCCAAAGCATCCGAACTTTCCCCGGTTACCCATGGCCAAGCAAAGCACCCCAAAGACACTCCGAAACAACAACTGAAAGCCAACACGACTCAAAGCCTTTCTGTGCTCCATGCGGATGCAGCTGCGTGGCACCAGACACCCGGCCGAGATCAGCAATATCTGTATATAGCTTATATTATAATATACCCTACCCAACCCTAAGTAACAGTATTCTGGCTCAAAGGCTCAAGGGTACTACTTGCCCTACATTGCTGACCAAGCAAGGTGGGCTTTGATGAGGAAACGATCAAGTGTTCGGCGTCCGCATGTTTTTGCGGACACACGTCTTGCGGTTCGAGCGACTTCACCTATGAAGTCCTCCGATGCTTCACAAAGGTGAACCGAAGGGGTCATGATAAACTTAGCTCCGGAGTCGAGCTGTTTCTTCAATCTGATTGATGCATGCTTAAATGCATGCAGGGCCGGTTCAACGTGGTAACGGGGCAACTGAAGCTTCACAAATTCCGCAGCCAGAAAGCTATACGCAGAACAGAATACGTCACATGCAGCTTTAGCTTTCTTGGCATCATCACGATTCCAGAAGACCCCTCCTCGATGGATCAGTTGAAAGAAAATCAAAGGTGCGCGTGCCGCATCATACATCGCCTGCCTCGGGTGGAACTGACTTCGGGATGACGGTAACATACACACTACTAACAACTGTTTAACATACCAAAAAACTCGCCTGTACAATCGGCGGGTGCATGCCTGGCCACAGCAACGGCGCATGGGAGGCTTCAAGCGGATTGCCCAACAGCGGCCTGGAACGGTCCCCATTCACGTCCAATCCATCCCTCAAAAGTAAGATGAACCACCGACAAATCATCATCGTGTCAGCTCCCTTCCACCCCCCGTAGGGGAAGGAAAGATTCCGCGGCAGGTGCAAGATTTCCTTTGAAAACATTTTGACATGGGGTGTCTGGTGCATTGTAGCACAGGCAAGTCTGAAATCCTCGTAGGCGACGGCAAGAATATCTTCGAGGTTGTTCGTACTGCAGGGGAAATAACCGAACTGTACCGAAGCGATCAAGGTTGATGCGCCAAAATGGCGACCAATCCCTAGTTTGAAGGTGTGAAAGGCATCGATATGGAACAACTCCTCTGGAGCAGCTGATGTGTATGGGATCTCCACTGTTGACGGCGGAGCTCTTTCGTTCCACGGACGTTTGCATCCGACTGTGACAGCCCAGGCTGGAGTCAGGGATACGTCTTCCCACGGAATAGCTGGGTCTGGCACATCAGGGGCGCAAGAAAAACCGACCCTACCTTAAGCCCCATGCCTAAGAAACCTTATAATATATATACATTCCAAACCAAAACCATCCGAAGAAAAGATTCATCACTCGGGGTTGGCAGCTGCTCTAAAGAATTGGAACGGGGTTGGAGTGTGTCGGAAGCTAGCATGTTATTCGGGACTAGCAGGGAGTTATATACGGCCAGGTATGTTACATGTTTTGAGGGATCCTGCATACGTAATATTCGACGATTAGTGAGGCTACGGTTTTGGGCGGATTTATTGAATTATGGGTCCTTTGACGCAAGCAATGTGGGGTTAAGGGGCAATAGGGGTTTGGAGGGACTCTTGCAGTCATGGCCTGTTCCGGCTAAGCACTGGCTGCAGATGCCTTTCAAGTAGCCCAGGTGACTAAAAGTTCGGTTTAAGGATCCAGCTTTTGCTTGTGCGGGGGCATCCCCTTTCAGTCCAACACAGATGCCATAATACATGTCGCCCTCACACATGCATCCATTGTTGAATATTTTGCGACAATCCGGAGGAATGCAGTCGAAGCACCGGTTCCAGAATGATTTTCTCTTCTTCCCACGATACAAATGATGAGGTAAGGCATACAGCAGGAATCGACTGAAAAGGGTGGGGCCCTTTCCAGTATGGGCCAATGTCTTGAGGCACAGATCACCACTCAGTGGTTTCCCAGCCTTCAGCTCCTTTTTCAAGTCGTCGTAGCTGCACTTGCCAAAAACAGCCTCCATGGCAACAATTTGCACAGGTGACTTCTTTAGTCCGCGCCCCTCGTCGTGAAATATGGTGTATGGTATACACTTGTCCAAATGGCCCGCATGTGCCACAAAGACCTCGTGATCCGGATGCTCGTGCCTGTATGCATCCCAAAACGAAGTTAGCATCATGTCAGTGTGCTCGTGCTTGCGGGGGTACCCGCCCAGTAACAGCTGAGGGTGGGCCGTCAACAGATAGTTGAACCACGTGGAAATCAAGACCATGGGTTGCTGCAGCAAGATCTTTTCAGCAATCATCGTCTTCGAGCACATCGTGTACGGATAGACTGGGATTGTCAACCCCCATCTCCTTATAAGATTGTGCAGCCTCTCCTCTGCATGACCCAAATCCACCTTGCTCAGAAGCTTGATTCCTCTGAGGATGCCTGGGCTTTCTTCTTCGAGGGCTCTGGCAAACGTCACGATACGGGTTGCCGGCTCCTCGGCAAACGCTTGGGGACCGCAGGGCCAAATAGGTTTGATTAGCTGATAATCTCAGATTACATGGATACATAGACCCATGACTAAGAAGCAGACCCCGTTGGCCAAAGCTTCCACGAGCTTCCTCCCAGCAGGCCCAACCCCTGCGCGTGGGTTGCGAATTCAACCCCATACCCTTGCAGCTACAAAGATTTGCAAGAATCGCCGGGAATCTTGAACTTCAGGTTTGTAGCTTAAATAATTTATTCCGAGGAATTAGTTTGCCGGTTTGGTGGGGCCTAGGGTGGAGCTGGGATTGGGAGGTTCATTGCTTTAGGAGGTTTGGGTGTGCATGTAAGGCCTATAGTAAGAGGTATTAGATCATCTAAATTTAAGCTCTCCGGCTCATTTGCGTTTTTTTCCACAAGCCTGGCACTCGATTGAGATCTGCAGACACTCATGTGTGCATACACACATAAAGCAGCAAAGAGCCGATCAAAACTGAGCCTTGGCAACTGCCTTTGACCTGAAGAAACTTTACTATATGCTGCATCCGAACAGACCTGGGGCCCTGAAATGTCTTACTGGCTACAGTGGCAGTCACCGTCGTCGCTCAGGCTCACGAAGGCTGCTTGCCAGTGCGACGGATCGCCGGGGGCTCGGGTTTTGCCTCAGGCTTTGCCTTGGCCTTGGGCCCGGGGCTGGCCTTAGCCTTAGGCTCCAAGGTTTTGTTCTTCTTCGGCAATTGCACTTTGCAGCGAGTCTCCAGGTTCAGGGATTCCACGGCCCTCGGACAGATGCACATTCAGCAGATGAGGTCCTGGTAATGTTGGTTATGTTTATTTGTAGCCGAGCAACAACTTCTTGGCCTTTTTGAAAAGAGCGATCAGCTCCTTCTCTTGCCTGGGAAATGGATGCTGAGGCTAAGATCGAAACGATGGCAGCACATGTGAACTATAATTGTCCAATATTGACCGAACGAGACACTCACTTGAGTATCCTTCGACAGCTCCGGAGCTGAAAAGGTCTTGGATCTTGTCTTGGACTTCATCTAGGGCCTCCGAAGTTCCATGCACCTTGTCCCTCAACCTGGGCGAAGCCAACACTAATGGCTTTGACACGTTTAGACTATGGAATTTTCAGGGTTTTGGGTTGGTAACTATAGCTAACGGCCTAGATAGCACAAAGACTCGGGCCCAGACTTCACGAGGCCTGGAGGCATATCGGAAACTTGCGCCATACGGGTCAACACATCTGACAGCTTCGTAGACCTCGTGAGTAGGCCCTTCATATAGGCTGCTATAACCTCCGAAGCTTTGCGACCGCCCTCAAGGGATGGCAGCTGCAGCTCGGCATCGGCATCGGTGGATCCGCTGGCTGTGGAGCCGGGGCCTTGACTCACGAGATTGCACGGGGTCCTGTTGTAAATGATTGCATGAAGCTCGAGGACCCTGAAACTGGGATGCTGATCTTAGGCTTATTTCTGTTGCGGTGGGTTGCAAGGGCTTGCGGCATGCGTACATACATTGAGGTTTGGCTTCGTGTTTCCCGAAATCTATCATAGCATAGGCTGGGGTTCCTTCAAAGTAAGCAACTGTGATCTGGCAGTGCCTACAGTCTACGGGAGTTATATTAATTAAGATGTTCTTTCATTGTTTGTATTGGTGTGGCATCGGACGACGGGTTGAAAGGATTCACATTGCTTATGTCGGTGTGGCACCGGACATCGCATCTTGAACGGAATGTCGCAGTACCAGAAGTGTCATACACTGTGCTAGTCATAGAATTTGTGGGGAACGAGCCTGGAAGAGCATGGCCACCCTCGTGCAAGTCACTATCGAACTGGGACGGGTCGAACTCCACGTGGCGGCCCATGATAACGTTGCCTTGCTCGTCCACCTCAACCTCGGCCTCGGCGTTGTGTGTGTCCCGGGTCTCGGAGGTGGCACTATGGGTGACCGAGGCGGATATCTCCTCTTCGAAGTACCACAAATCCGTCTTCTTGTTATAGGTGTCCTTCCTTGGCCCCATGCAATTGTAGACTCATTGTAGAGAGATGACAATTGTAACATGCACGAGCAGCCACACACACTATGTCGCCAGGGGTGCATTTTGAACTGTGGGTTGGCCTGGGCGAAAGCCTTGATTTCGGCCATGCGCTCCCTGAGAGAACACATGCATGCAGATGCACTAAACTAGCTAGGAAGCAGCATCCCCTGATAGTTTCTGATGTGCTTACTGAGTTGCTCTGAGACCTTCTTCTCTTCTCGAAGGACCTTTTCTGAATAATAATTTCCTTTTCGCCTGAGCTTGACCTCCTTCTTGCGCTCATTGATCACTTGGATCTCTCGGGACACGGCATCCTGGCTGGGCAGTCCGGCAAAGCTAGGGTTGTTTAATGTTTGCCTATATAACTGACCTATATAGAGGTTGAGGAGAATGAGTGTAATATGTACGAAGGGCAGTGTAAGGTAATGTAACCGTTTATACAGCATTTATAGATACGGTTCTAATTTCTACAATACTACACAAAGAACCGATAAAGAACTGATAGAGGAATCATCCTATGTAGGTTCCACGTAACACGGTTCATGAAGCCTTATAGGGTGGTCCTTGTTGCAGCCTTTGGACAAGAACAGCTTGATGAGTGCGGTGCGGGCGGTGCCCTGTTTGTTCCATTCCTCAAGAATGTTCGTCGGGGCTTCACAAACTCCGCTTTTGCGTACTTTGCACATCCGGCGCAGCCTTTGTTTGGCTGCCTCATGGCTGGGCTGGTCATTGGGTTCCTCCTCTTCATTCACAGCAGGAGCTTCCTGCTGTTGCTTCAATTGCTTGATCTGCTGTGTTTGCTGTTGCATGAACTCATTCTGGGTTCGCAACTGCGCCTGCAACAGCTTCAGCGTCTCCTGCATCGTAGCCTCGTTGCTGCTGGACCCGGTGGACCCTGTGTCGGATTCTAGCAAAATAAACTGTTTGGATAAGTCCCGCTCGATGTTGTGGTAGCCGTCTGCAAAGCTTGCTTTCTCGTTTTGCTTTGAACTGCCCAGACCCTCTGCGCTCTCTGTTGGCTTTGAACTGCCCAGACCCTCTGTGCTCTCTGTTGGCTCTGAACTGCCGAAACCCTTTGCGCTGTCGGTTAGCTTTGAACTGCCCAGACCCCCTGCGCTGTCGGTTGGCTTTGAACTGTCCAGACTCGCTGTGCTCTTGGTTGGGTCTGAACTGCCCAGCCCTGGCTCCAAAGACAACTTCCCAATCCCTTCCAAGGCCAGCTGGAAGTTCTCATCGTCGAGGTCCTGGCTTGGAGGTGCGGGATGACAGGTCGGTCTCGGAGCACCCGGGTTCAGGGTTTGTGGCTTAGTTTGGTTTGGGGTACATATAGTTGATTTCCACTACAGTGGTATACATGCATTCAGATAGTTGGTGTGTTAAGCGTTTCGGGTTGTTCATAGGTTTTGAAGAGTGTTGTTGCATTTAAGCTTGCTTGAGACCAACGATTTTCGCTCGAGGCCAACTAGAGCCAGAGAAAGAGAGAAGGAAAGAGGGAGAGAGTGAGAGAGCGAGGAAGAGAGGGAGAGAGAGAGAGAGAGAGAACAAGTGAGCGAGCGAACTAGAGTAATAGAGGGAGCATGGAAGGTATCATCGAGAGCGAGAGGGAAAAAGAGAGGGCGACAGCATGTGTGTATATATGCCTCTGCATGCCACACACTAACAACACTCCGAAACCTTTGACCTGACACACGGTACACAGTACTGTTTGCAGTCTAATCTGTCACTAAACAGGACACCATGAGACCGTCAGCTCCGAGACCACACAGGAATTCATGCTATTATACACGAATGCAACAGAAAGGTCAAGTACAGACTTGATGCATGAAACCGTTCATTCCATCTCCACCACTGCAAAATCCCCGCTGAACATCTTGAAGAGACATGCTTTTATACTAGAAAACACACCTGCCAGGCCTCGAAGTAGTAGGGGTCCATAGCCACATTGCCTGGGGAGTCGACCAAGGTATCGGGACACTGGGGAGGGATCTGGCTGTCATTTCCCAAATCCACTTCCTCCTCAAAGAGGGCTCTTGGCTTCATTGTGCTTTGGGTGTCGGAGGCATTTTCTTGCCGCTTCTTCCGGCGTGGAGGCACGGCCGAGCTTGGGGTGTGGGCGGCCAGGTCTGCCGAGTGCGGGGTTCGGGCGTGGCGCTTCGGGGGAGCACACTCCTCTTCATGGATCTGCTTCTCTAGTTCCTCGCAAGCTCAATCAGAAGGCACCAAACACCGACTCCACGACAGCACGAAGTAACCCAGCATAAACAGAGAATCCTACAGTCTTACTATCAGGGTATAACCAGACATGTGCTAGTATACATGTACCCGAGGTCCTCAATCTCTCGCTTTGTCTCACTCATATCCTCCATTTTGACTTGCTGGAAGTCGATTGTTTTTAGGCCTTCGGTGAGGCTGGCAGAGGAAAAGACCTTCGATGATATCTGCTGAGACATCTTGATCCGCTTGCATCGGCAATGAGGTTTGGAAAGGCAAATCTCAGGAAGTAGCTGACACACCGGAATGACGGCTTGCTACGGCAACGTACACTTGAAGCACACGACAGCAAGAGCTCATAACCTGCGTTTCTCAGATGTTCTGCTCCCGGCAAAACGAAATCTTAAGCAGCAAGGCCAACCCAGCTCGGACAAATACTTGATGCATAGCAGTTCTTCAGGCAGACTATACATCCGGACGATCGGCATATCATGAGCCAGGGCCTCACCTTCGGTGCACAGCTGCAAGTCAATTAGACAGGAGCAGGACTTGTCGGGAATGAAATGAAATGTAGATAAGGAAGCCCTATAGAAGATTGGCAAATGCCTGTATAGACGGTCCGAGCAGGTATTGTCCACGGTTTAGGGGTTTAGGGTTTATAGGGTTTAGGGTTATAGGGTTTGGGGGGGTTTAGGGTTTATAGGGTTCAGGGTTATAGGGTATATAGGGGTTGGGGGTTGAGGGTTTACAAGGTTTGAAAG